CACACACACACACACACACACACACACACACACACACACACACACACACACACACACACACACACACACACACACAGAACAGATGCACACGCACATACAATCAGTTGTATGTGTGTATACCTTCCTTCGTGCCTCGTATTTTGAGTACTTTTTCTGTATCCAGGTGAGCACCTTTAAGAAGTGCCTAAGATTCGGTGGCTCTTGGTGCTGTGTTCGGGGAACCTATTGGTGCATGTTCCATGGGTCCATGGGAGCTGACAGACGTCCATTGGAGTGGCTTCGAGGCTCCGGGGGTGGTGGGAACCTACTTCCAGTCTGCGGGTTCTGCTTGTGGTGTGAGTAGTAGGTGATGGACTGCTTTGTTCCGTGTTGGATGTTTCGACTTCCTTGTCTGCACTCCTTCTTGACTTTGCTGCCATGTCTTGCCTGGCAGCTTATCTGCACTGTAGTTTGGCTGTCTTGTGAGCGTTCGTTGCCTTGTGCGTTGATGCGCCGTTGCCTCGCTGCCCATCCCCTTGCTTTGCGCTTTCACTGTGCTTGTGTGTGTTCCATGTAGCTTGGCTGCTTTTGCAGCGCTGCCTTGCGCTTTTCTCCGCTGTTGCCTCGCTGCCAATCCCCCTAGGTTGTTTTTCCACGCTGTTTGCTTGCGTGCCGTCACACTGCCGTGTAGTCCGTCTGCCCCGTTAGCGCTGCCTGTTCCCTCACTGCGTCGTTCCCTTTCTGCCTTGTTCCACTTGTCGACGTTGTCGTGTCACCGGCTGAAACCCATTTTCAACATTTGCCTCATTACTAAAGACACATTGGAGAAGGCAACAAAACCAAATCGCCTTGCAACAACAATGTGTTAAACCACCAGTACAATACCTCCGACAGTCGCGCGGTGAGCGTTCGTTGCTGCAGGTAACGTGCCGTCGTGCCCTGACGCGCGCGAATGAACGTGTCCAAGTTGAAATGGAGCGCCCGAGTTCATCCAAGTTGAAATGCTTCTACTCTATTTTTTAAATTTCCCCCTCCGCGGCCGATATATGTATGGCCAAGGTACGGGTGGTTTATCCTGGACTGGAGCGTCCGAATTCATCCAAGTGGAAACACTTCCACTTTATTTTTTTTTCCGCGGCCGATGTATGTATGGCCAAGGTACTTAGACCAACAGTTGCGCCGGAATTCCCCCAAATCTTTTGTGGTTGTTGCCTGCCTCTTCTCGTCCGAATTTCAAAGCAATCCGAAGACTGAGTTTTGTTAAACCACCAGTATTTGGGCCAGCTATCGGCCGCGGAACAAAATAGAGTAGAAACGTTTCTAGTCGGGTGAATTTGGGCGCTCCTGTAGTGGCGCGTACGTTTCCTAAAATC